CCCACCTTTTCTCTCTCTCTTTCTCTCTATCTCCTTCTTTCTCTCTTTACTTTATTTTTACAACACACTCTGCCAAGCGGAACCTCCGCGGTAAATAATATGTGAGGCAGCGTTGTGGAATCAGGCTCTCGTCAAAATAATGAAATCGAAGAAAACAGCAGTTTTCTCCCTGCTTCGCAATTTTTATCAAATTTCTGTTTTTTGGCTCAACACCTTTTATGTCCATTTACAAACACATTCTATTGAGGATTTCACTGAAAACGTTGATTAAAGGCACAAAAATATAAAATTACAGTTTTCAAGGACTCTCCGGCTTTGGAATTAACCAGGGTTTGGCGGCCATTTTCTCGCTAATTTTACCTCTTAAATCAGGTGACCCCCACCTCCTTCAATCCAAAATATCTCCACTTCTATTGAAGATAGATGGGCAATATTTTCATTGAAAGCAAGACAAATGAACAGGCTTTAACATGATACCAAGAACTCAATATGGCCAAAAATTGACGAGAGCCTGATTCCACCACGCTGTCTCACATATTTTTGCGGCGACCGTAATAAGCCTCACTCGCTGTAGACCGTCTCACCAGCACACACTTACAGATTGTATCGTGGTTTCTCTTGTAAGACAGAGAGTAAAAATAAAAAAAATAATATTTTTAAAGCTTTAGCATCACCTCCCAAGATAAATTTAGAAAAGAAAGGGCGTCCAAGAGAAAGGACTTTAGCATGAGATAAGCTACGAGCAGATGTCTTGTAGGAAAGGGACCCACAACCACATTTTCACCAAGCCAATCAGACTGTTGTTTCATTTAAGAGTCCAGTATGTCAACCCAGTTTTTGGGACATCTGAATATACATAAAGCTCTTGAACATCTAGTTCTCACTGGCAAAATAGAAGGCGAACGAGGCAGGGGTAGACCCAGAGCAACCTACTTAGGGAACCTAAACAAATGGGTAATGGGGAAAGATCCAGGAAGCGTAGCTTTTTTAAGAGCATCCGAGCAAAGGAATGAATGGGGAACTGTGATCGCCGATGTCTGCCGCAGATCTGGCACTGGGTGGTGATGATTTTGACCCAGTATATATTATATAATATCATTTATCTTGCACCGATGTGCCTGGTTTTCTGTAGTAGTATGATCCCTTAAGACTGTCTGGAAGGCGAAGAAAGAGTAAGTCAGAATATGCCCCAGCGTCCATGATAGCCTTTACTGATGATGGGGGAGGGGTTGGCGGTGGGGATAGAGGGGACGAGGGAGACAGATCGATGAAAGAGGGAGCGTAAGAGGGGAAAACAGGAAAGAATAAAATGAGAAACAGAAGAGGGTGGCATGTCGGAAACGGAAGGGTCTTTGAGAAAATGAAAGAAAGAGTGGGTGAGAAAAATAAGAGAGAAAGAGAGAGAGAGAGAGAGAGAGAGAGAGAGAGAGAGAGACAGAGACAGAGACAGAGACAGAGACAGAGAGAGAGAGAAAGTGAGAGAGGGATAGAGAGTGGGAGAGAAAAAGAAAGAGATTGAGAGAGAGAGTGCGAACGCGGAA